GGAGCCGGGCTCGGCGCCCCTCCGGCCTGGCAGCGCCGGGTCTGCCTGGTGCCTGCGGCCCGGCTGCCCTCGGTTCTGCGCTGGTTGGGCGCGCAGGCCTCGGGTTCGGAAAACCGAACCGTCATCTGCGAAGCGTTTGATCGGCCCGCAGTAACCCTAGACAGGCGTAAACGCCGAACTGTATGGCTTTTGTAGCAGGGAGGTGATGTCACGATAGCTGGTCTCAGAACGCCTGCCCTGTAGAGCTCACGGTGCCAGGACGTCCGGCAGTGGATAAACAGGAGGCTGCTGTGACCTGAAGGACTGCAAAATAGTTTTAGATTCACTGAAATCGCTTAGGGCAGCACTCGGAATCGCCTACTTGGAAAAGTTACTGCATGGGAAGCAAGTGGCAGCCAGCCACTCTCGGGAGTACCACAGAGTAATTTATGTGCTGTAAATTCATTAGCTAATTCCGTGAATGGCATTGGACACATCCAAAGTAACATGTTGGAAATCGAATGGAGCTGTACCTCAGCAGCATGGTGGATCATGGTGCCGCTGAAGACCTGAGTAACTTCACATGGTGCTCGATTGGCTGCTGCGACTCTAGCAGGTGTGCTTTAACTTCTACAGACTAAACACCACTTAGGTGGGTTCAGTTCTATAGATAGACCTTGTGTTTACTGTTGCACCTTTCCATCGAGCAAACAGGGGTCTGTGAACACCCAGCATATATATATATATATATATATATGTATTTGCCTGCAGAGTAGAGGGGCTTATATTGTCTCCCTCACGGGCACTGGCAGGCATGTCATAAGATGGAGGTACAAAGGTGCCTCTTCCCTACGTTTAGATCGGGGGTTTCCTTCTCCTGCAAAAAAGCCACCACTTCCTTTCCATGAGCAGAACTAACCCTGTATACACTACAAAACAACTGGTTTTGTTACTTACATGACACAGTATGTGCTGTGCGCTTCTCTAAATCCAGGTTCCCATCCCCCTGAAAGAGCTTGTTAAAGCTGTACAGATGAGGAATTTAGAAACAATTTTCAAAGCATGGTTACTCAAGCTGGAAGTTAGCTTTTAGCCAGACTTTAATACAGCTTCCAATATTGCAAATAAAAATTTGCAACTGCAGCTGGGTAGTTTGGTTTATGAAATAACTACATCCATAATCTTCAAGAATAAATGAAAGTTAGCTGAAATCTCTGGTACATATTTGTCACCGAGGGATTTTGGATCCTCTGAACGGGCAAGAGACATCTCTATATTGTCATCAGAAAATAACTCACCAGCAAAAGAATATCTCAAGTTTAAATAGGTTATACGAATCTTGTGATCCTTTTAAATGCTCGTAGTACATAGCTCCCTGCTTAGAACCTCTTTTCAACTTTTCTCCAGTTAACAGGGCTTGCAGAAGAGATACTACAAGTACAGGTTGTTTTTAAATCGTCTAGTTTGATCCCGTTTCATCTCGACTTGATTGGAGGACAAACCAGATGCACAACATAAAAGAGATATATATATCTCATCTAAGATCTTAATTTTTTTGCCTGACATAACAAAAAAGCACTGAACTAACAAGAGGAGCCACAAAGTAGAAATTTTGTATCACAAGACACTATTTTCTAAGTAGAATGTAAAGGCATGCAATTGTTTCTCATTTCCTGTTCCAAAGACTTCACCATTTCACGTGCCACTAGTACATCATTTAGTCACTAAATGTATTGCGTTGAAGACTTCTGACAGTTGGCCAAAATAAGAGGCTACATCATTATCAGAGTAATGACTGTATGCATTTGGTTGTACTGACGATAGTATGGAATAGTTTACTGGATCCTTTTGTACATTTTGTTTTTCATCTGCCAATGAAGAAACGTCTAATAGCGACAAACAGATGGGAGACAGCATTTGCCAAAGAAGAGCACGAAGCCTGTCTCTGGGTCACATTCTTTTGCACTTATAACCTGTACAGAACCATTGTCACCAGTGAAACTCTATGGAATATAAAATCAATCAAATTGAAATTTGGCCTTTTAAGCTGCAGATTTTTGTTTACTACATTAAATCTTTTAGATGGCCTACCAGATGATTTTCATAAAACCTTGGGGAAAACTCTGGAGAACTCTCTGTAATTAAGTGAGGGAAAGGCAATTAAGCAAAGCTTACATGTTCTCTTCCAAGTGGATAGCTTAGCAGTCAGTCAGCAGATATGCCTATACTGTAGCCGAAGATGTGGCAGCTGGCAGAGCTCCTACCAGAACCCAAGCTAGCAGATTGGATGAGCTTTTGAGAATGAGAAATACATGTCGTATTTTTTATTTCGGTATAAACGGGTCAGCTCTACCTGTGAGAGCAGGATTAGAAGCAAAGTTTTGGAGAGGTCAAGTTAAGTTTGCAGCAGAGAACCTCACACCAGGGCTCTGGGTCAAAACCAGTCATCTTTGGTGAAGAAGTCTGTGCCTTCCCCCATACTCCTTAAATGTCGTTCACCACCACTCTGCAAAGAGGGTGGGCACAATGGAAGAGGAAAACAAGAGGACAGAAAGAGGAGAGAGATGGGGGAAAACGCCCCAGTCAGTCTTTCTGCTGAGAGAAACAAAAGTGAAACAATGACACCTCTGTTTTGCAAGACCAGAAACTTAGGTCTAAAAACATGGATTGCAACAAAAAGTCACGGATGAGGACAAGAGGGTTAAGAACCAGGTCATCCTTGGAGCTCACATGTGCATGCACATACGTGCAGAGCTACGCAAAGAACAACAGTGGATTTTGGATTGGCTGGAAAGTGGGTACTGGTGAAAAGTGACAAAAAGGAGCTCATTATCAAGTTGGAGAATAAGTTGTCCTGAGACAGACTTCCCACAAGAGGAATGCCTCTTTGGAAAACAAGACACAACCTGGGAAGACCACCTCTGCTGTCAGCACGTGGAGACAGTCTCATAATATGAATAGTGAATGAACTCCCCAGACCAACAGCAGACTCCCTGATCTGCTTTAGGAAAATTTCATACTCGGTCTTCTAGCACAAAATAGACATGCTAGAACTGTTGGGTTTTTTCTTGGATCCGACTCTGAACTAAATGTTTTCAGGTGGTTGGTTGTTTTTTGTTTTGTTTTTTTTTTTTTAACTACAACTGTTACAGCATAGTACCTCACTGTGGTTGTAGACAACGAGCCTTCTACATGGCTGACTACAAGACTTGAATCAGGGCATAGCACTAATTCTAATGGGCACTTTATTAAAGATATTGCTGCAGTCGGAACAAAAAAAAAAAAAAAAAAAAAAAAAAAAGCAAAACCAAACAGTACCCTCCTGTTAAAGCTAACTCATAATCAAAATGCAATAAGACCAGGTCCATCTTAGAATTTTATATAATTCTGGCTGTAACACTCACCATGCATGCTCATTTTGAACTTTTAGTGACTCTTACGCTCCTTTTGAAGATTAAAAGCTTTTCTTTGTTGCTGTGACCTGCCGGGAGAATAAGTGCACAAGCAAATATTTAAGAATAACTGTCTCTGCTACACCAGCAATAATTGAACTTTTTCCTATCCAGAAGTTTTATTCTAAACGAGACCACTATTAGCTTTTCTAATGAATATTCTTAGGATTGCAGACATGTCCTTTTGGAGCTTCCTCTTGCAAAAAATTATGGCCATGAATCTCCCTCCATCCGTAAATCTAGGAGGAAACCCAATCCCCCTGGGCTCAGTGGAACTACTTAGAGGACTGAAGCTATGCAACGCTTGCAGAACCATGGTCAAAGCTTGCATCTTCTTCAGCCTAATCTGTCTAAAACGGCCAGTATTTTTTGTGTTTGGATGATAACAATGGAGTCAAAATACTAGATACCTTTCATTGGCCAAGCATAGAACGAGTAAGGTTTTTAAATGGTTGTTGGTCTGAAACATCAGCAGATGATAGTGACCTTAGCAGGTTCCTCTCTCCCCCCTTTTCTTGTTAGAG